TGAAAGTATAAGGGTTTAATGTAAACCCATTGAAGTACCAGTAGGTGTCGTTTTTTTTGGTATGTTTTGCTGAAACATTATCACAAGATTTTGCTGTGAGCCAGAGCCGTTGTGTGCCTTCTCTTTTGTTATTATTTTGACTCATTATTTTATGTGATATTGACCATTACTCAGAAGTTTTATCCTTTTTACAATGTGTGTTTACTGTTCAAATATTCTTTCAACATAATGTAGTCCTGACTTTTAACAGGTCGTTTTGTGGAACGCAGGCACTTTAAAGGTGGGGTAGTTAACTTTTTGTTATATTCCATGGAATGCTCTTAACATCCCGATAGCAATGAATATCTGAAGTGCTTTGACAAAAAATCCATAAAAAGATGTCATCTGTGGAAGCCGTAGTACTGTAAAAAGCACGACCAATCATCTGAGCCGGCCCGGCTAAAATAACTGGATGGCCTACCTGCCTGTCAGCCTTGCATCTGTCCACAAACTTATCTCGTGCCCTCATTGGTCATGTGCACGTTCGTGTGTGTTGGAAGAGGGGCTCTGTAAGGAAATAGCAGATTTCTTCCGGCTGTGTATTTTCAAATTCTAGGGCACTCGAGCTGGTTTCTCCAAAATTACCACCTTTAACTGCTCTTAATAAATCTCTCAGAAGTCTCTCACAAACATGTGCAAACATCTCTCAAAGCCATGACTTGAATTTAAGAAGTGGATAATGCAATTTATTCTGACAGAACGGACTTCAAAGCAGCTCCTTTTGAAGCGGCTAGTAACACAGATTAAAGACGTAATATTGTTTAGATTGGAACAGTTTATCAAGCATTATCAAGTTATTATCGTTGTCTTTATCTTTCCTCGTATGATAAAGCTTCAAATTAGTATTTTATCAAAGCCCTATTTGCTTGGCATCTCTTTTTAGTGCGTGGTAGAAACCTGTGTAATCTCCAGTCTGATATTGTTTCTTAATGAAATTCGAACAAAGTTGACCTGAAGTCTCGTCCTACTGGAAACACATTTGATACACAGAAACATCATGAGGACAAAAAGTGACGTTATCTAATGCCTGCCCGTCATTTCCTAGACTTATAATTGTTGGTGTATGTCAGAAAATAGAGAAAAGGCACATCTTAGTTTCTGGGTGTCCAAAATGATGTAAAAAAACTCAAAGATATTTAGTTTAATATGATGTAAAACAGAGAAAAGCTATAAAAGGCCCATATTTTGAAAGCTGAAAAATCACCTAAACTATTAATAACTAATATAAAATAATACCAAAATAGTTGGTGATTATCTTTCCGTCGATATTTGCAGTAGAAAAGCATCGGATACATTTGAATAGCCCTCGCCCTCCTCTTTCTGTAGCCTTTTCTCTGTTTTCTTTCTTACCTCCCCACTTTTTGGGTTCATATTTCTCCCTTAGTTTCCCTTTATACTCTGCTCAGCTCTCTCACTGTGACTCATCCACATCCCTTTGTGATAAATAATTTGTTAAATATAATGATGGCTATATTTATCTGAGAAGCTGTTATTACAAAACGCTCATGTAGAGTGACAGAATGGCATGAAGTACACTGGTGTGTGTCTCTGTGATTATGTGCATTGTGTCCCAGTGTGTGTGTTCCTGTATTACACAGCCCAGTGGACCAAAAAAAAATCCAGCTCCCTCCCTCTTTGCTTCCTGATTGGCTCGCAGAAGTCTTTCCCTTTTTACGATTGGCTCCCAACTTCAGCCCCTCCCCTCCCATTGGTCCTCCCGGGGGGTTGTTGCCTGGTTACATCAGAAGCTCATATATTTGAGCAGAGCTGTGGATGTTTACTGCAGCACTTCTTCAGACAGTGCAGACTGAGACTACCTCACTAACACACACTCATTCAGAAACACACACACACACATCGGTTTAGAGGACGCCGCATTATGCACCCAGGCTCTGACTCCTCAAAGTGCTCAACTGAGATAACCGACCCGCTGGATACCAGGCCGGCCCGATACTGACAGAGGATAAATCTGCAGGAGAGACTGAGGAGAGCGAACAGCTGGATTAAAAAGTTTGGTTAAAAAAAAAGTCAAGCCCATTCTCTGCTGGGTCTGAAAAACAAAAAAACAGACTTTAATAACCTACAGTGCCTGGGCAGGAGAAAACCAAACAGCCTACAGGCAGAAGAGACGGCCTTCAGCCTGAAAAACCTTCAGGAAGAATCTGAAACAAAACAAAAGGGACAGAGAAAACAGCTGGCGAAATGAGAATGGCCTGTGACATTCTGCTGCAGAGGTAAACATCGGGGTTTTGTAACTCCTCTTGTCTAACTGGCATAAATCATTGCGTGGATGAACTGATGGAGGTGAAAGCAAATATGTGGTTGGATGATAGATAAGTGAATGAATGAGCAGGGTGAAAGAGAGGGAAAGGGCAAGACACTGGATGAATGACTTGGATTGATTGACAGTTTAATGATCAGGGGGAAAGCTACAATAATGAATGAATTTGGTGAATCAGTCAATCAAGTGATGTAATGGTTTTGGTGAATTGAAGAATGGAGGGAACTTGTTGTTGTTGTTGTTGTTTTGCTCATTGTTTTGATGAATGGCAGATGAAAGAGAATAAAGGGTGTGTTGTCTTGTACAGGAATAGAGACAGAGCAGTTAATGAGAAAAGAGGCATAGAATTATTAACAGCTGATATTGTGTTATGAAATCTTAAGTACGCAGAAGGGGGTCTGGGAGGGAGGAACGTGTCAGCCTTATTGTTACGTAGAGGTGCAAAACAATGTTGGCTGTCTTTGTGTACATTCTTAACATTACTGATCGCCATAAGGAGTTCCTAGTAATACATTTTTACATTTTATGTCCAAATATGTCAATTTGAGAAGTGAATTATTGCTGATGGCCATGTCCTCAATTGTAAGGATTTATTTTAGGATTGCAATTAACGTTTCTTTTGTATGTAAGAAGCAGCCTTTTTGTCTCAGAAGTTGTGGAAAATGTCATTATTTAGTTTGACATTTCAATGGTGGAAATAATCCACAGATAAATAGCTGGACAATATTTATATATTTCACTTATGAACTGAAATTTGATTTGGCACCAGAAACCGCAATAACTTCTAACACCATCTTATACATGCACACACTTTGTTTACATGCTTCCTCAGGCAGTGCCAACGAATACTGTAAGAGCAAGCTATCTGCGATGCTGCTCCAGCTCCTCATGACTCTGCAAGAGGAATGAATAATTATAGGGTTGAGAAAGCAGAGAGAGGAGCTGAGGGGGGTTTGTTGAGTCAACTAAACAAAATACATCTTTTATCAGATGGTCAAACGTCTTTTGGGTAATTAAAGAAAAATTAGTAAAGGACATTTCACGGGTCATTAATTGTCCTAAGTGTACAGAAACTGGAAACAATCAACTTATTATACATGTTGGTTTGAGTTGTTTGAATGCAAAACTGTGCAGTACTGCTCTGAGAGTTTCTTGGCATTAATATGAAGCCCGTCAGAAGCAGCCCAAAGTGGTGTTTTTATGAGATGATGCATAGGTGTATGTGTGTGATGGAAAGCTTGAAGTGTGTGTGTGTTAAGTAAAATACGTGGATGCTGACATGTGTATGTGGTAATTTATTTGTGTGTGCGTGGGTGGACGTGCAGACTGCAGCAGTCTAAAGGAGTCAGGTTTGCTGACAACAGCTCCTCTGTGGAATCACAACTAACCTCAAACTCACCTTACACACACACACACACACACACACACACACACACACACACACACACACACACACACACGCTCACTTATTCCCTTTGTGTCCTTTGTCATAAATAATGTAAGGATACTCTTCATCTACCCTTTTCCTTATTGTCATCTGCACTGACTGCACAAAGTTGTCCTTGTCATTCCACTCTCGCGGGAATATCTCCCCAATGGAGCGAGCTTAAGTTTCACTTTTGATTGCATGTTATAGCCCAGCGCATCACCTTCGTCACACATGTTGCCACTTGTTTGTACCATTTTCTGGCGATTTGTAATCTGTTCTAGAGAAACTGTGTTTTTTAGGATTTCAAGAAGCATATAGAACAAACAATGGATGTATTTTATGAACTATTTATCCATGCTGAAAGTAGATGTTTAGGAGTGAGATAGAGATTATTATCTAATATATGCATCCGATGAAGCATTGCATGAAGTCTGTTGAGGATCAGAGACTGTT